CTGATTTGATTTGGTTTGGTTTCTCTGGAGACATTCTCCAGGGAGGACCTGATTGGTCCTGGAACCTTGTTTTGATCCCCAGCTCCTTCAGAGGAGCAGCAGGAGGAACAGGAGCATGTTGTGGCCACCGTCCCTCTCTTTGCTCTGTGGTTGTTTCTTGTAGGTTCCACAGGAAGTTGTCATGATGTGATGTCACAGAAGTTTGGATCTGATCTGACCCCCCCCCCCCCCCCCCCCCCCCCCCCCCCCCCCCTCTCGTGCTCTGCCACAGCTGAGGGAGTCCGTTTCCCAGGAGTCTTTGTTGAGTCCCTGCAGCGCTGTGGAGGCTCTGGACCTGAGTCTGGAGGAGGAGGTGTCCGTCAAACCACTGCACTGCAGCATTCTGGGTCAGGAGTTCTGTTTCGAGGTGAGTTCTCTACAGTAATCAGATTACTGTGGTTCACCTGGGCTGTAATCAGATTACTAACCCTCCTTGGACACCTCCCACTTCAGGTCACCTTCTCTGGGGGCAGTAAATGCTTCAGTTGTTCTTCAGCTTCAGAACGAGACAAGTGGATGGAGAACCTGAGGAGAACGATCCAGCCCAACAAGGTTCTGCAGTTCTCCAGTTTGGTTGAGCTTCATCAGTCATCAGTCCTCTTAGCTGCCTGCTGGGCTGACTTTGAGTGATTGTCGAGCTAACCTGTAGCCGTCTTTCTACTTCTCTCCTCAGGACAACTGTCGTCGGGCTGAGAACCTCCTGCGTCTCTGGATCATCGAGGCCAAAGATCTTCCTCCGAAGAAGAAATATTTCTGTGAGTTGTGTTTGGACGACGTCCTCTACGCCCGCACCACCAGTAAGACCCGTCTGGACAGCCTGTTCTGGGGCGAGTACTTCGACTTCTCCGGCCTGCCGCCCGTGCACAGCGTCACGGTGCACGTGTACCGCGAGGTGGACAAGAAAAAGAAGAAGGAGAAGAACGCCTACGTGGGTCTGGTCAACATCCCGCTGTCGAGCGTGACGGGGCGACACTTTGTGGAGAAGTGGTATCCAATCAGCACACCCACCGCCAGCAAGACCAAAGGAGGGGGGCCGTCCATCCGGATCAAGTCCCGCTTCCAGACCATCTCCATCCTCCCTATGGAACAGTACAAGGAGTTCGCCGAGTTCGTCACCAACAACTACACCATGCTGTGCTCGGTACTAGAACCGGTCATCAGTGTGAAGAACAAGGAGGAGATGGCCTGTGCCCTGGTCCACATCCTGCAGAGCACCGGCAGGGCCAAGGTCTGTAGTCGAGGACCAGCGGTACTATCAAAGCAAACTCTGGTCCTCCCTGGTGCCGCACATCTCTGATGATGACATCACTTTCTGCAGGACTTCCTGACGGACCTGGTGATGTCAGAGGTGGATCGTTGTGCGGACCACGACGTCCTGATCTTCAGGGAGAACACGTTGGCCACCAAGTCCATCGAGGAGTTCCTGAAGTTGGTGGGACAGAAGTATCTGCACGATGCTCTGGGTGAGAGAACACACACACACACACACACACACACTGACCGAGGTCTGGGCAAACACAAAGACGGGGGGTGGAGGGGGGCTTGTAAAAAAGTTAAAATGCTAAATTGCTTTTATCATTTTCTACGCCATCTATTGGGGAAACGTGGGTATTGCAGTGAAAAGGCAGACGTATAATGGTAATATAAATAAATGATGTCATTAGGACAAGTATTTCGGGCCAGATTAAAAAGTTGAACGGGCCGCGTCCGGCCCCCGGGCCGTAGTTTGCCCATGCCTGCAGTGACGTTCTTCTTCTCTGGTCTTTCTTTCAGGTGAGTTCCTCAGGGCTCTGTACGAGTCTGACGAGAACTGTGAGGTGGATCCAAGTCGATGTTCCGTCTCTGACCTGTCGGAACATCAGAGCAACCTGAAGATGTGCTGTGAACTGGCCTTCTGCAAGATCATCAACTCCTACTGGTACACACACACACACACACACACACACACACACACACACACGCTCTCTCTGACCTCCTCCTGTGCCTCCTCAGTGTGTTTCCTCGGGAGCTGAAGGAGGTCTTCGCCTCCTGGACGCAGCGGTGTTCTTCTCGTGGACACCAGCAGGACATCAGTAAACGTCTGATCAGTTCCTCCTTGTTCCTGCGGTTCCTCTGTCCTGCCATCATGTCTCCTTCGCTCTTCAGTCTGACGCAGGAATATCCTGACGATCGCACGGCTAGGACGCTGACCCTCATCGCCAAGGTCATCCAGAACCTGGCCAACTTCACCAAGTCAGTACCAGAAGAACCCCAATCACTTCATCAGTACCAGAATCAGTACCAGAGATTCCGATGTAATCAGTTCTGGGCTTTCTGTGAACTGCTGCAGGTTTGGGAACAAAGAAGAGTACATGGCCTTCATGAACGACTTCCTGGAACACGAGTGGGGCGGCATGATGCGTTTCCTGTCCGAGATCTCAAACCCGGAGACGCTGTCCAACACGCCGGGCTTCGAGGGTTACATCGACCTGGGCCGCGAGCTGTCGGTGCTGCACGCTCTGCTGTGGGAGGTGGTGTCGCAGCTGGACAAGGTCAGCTGACACGCACTGATCACCGATTGGTTAGCTCCGCTACCAAAGAGACCTAAGATCTAAGTCGGACTTAAGTCAGATCTAAGTCAGACTTAAGTAGGTGACGAGTGTGGCTGTCAGTCACACGCGGTGACCAATCATCAGTCAGAGTCACATGACTCAGTGGAAACAGCTGTGGTTTCAAATCTGATCATCAGTCAATCATCAGTCAGAGTCACATGACTTAGTGGAAACAGCTGTGGTTTCAAATCTGCTTCTCATTCCCTGGTTTTTGTCTTTCTGCTCTTCACCCCCCCCCCCCCCCCGTCTGACCCCTGCAGGGGGAGAACTCCTTCCTCCAGGCCACTGTAGCTAAGCTCGGCCCTTTGCCGAGGATTCTGGGAGATATTTCCCGGTGCCTGGAAGCCACGACGCCAGTTCAGCCGCAGCTGCGACGTTTCCAGGAGCATGGCTCCGCCCACAGTCTGTCGTCAGGGTTCCCGGCTGCTGACAGGTGAGTGATGTCATCGACACCTTCAGTTCTCGCTGAAACGTCAACGTCAACGTCACACGGTGGTTACCTCCTGTTGTGCAGCCAAAGTGAGGTTCAGTGTCCCGGGCCGGGCCGCGCCCCGCGCCCCCTGCTGGTTCAGCCGCAGAACTTGACCTCTCAAGACGAGAGAAACGACCTCCTGCAAAACGGACGCAGCGTCTCATTGGTCGACCTTCAGACCGACGCCCGCACCCTGCAGGACACGCCCCCCGGTCTCAGCAGGACGGGATCACAGGCCTCCATTGGACACAGACCCCCTCCACTAAACCACGCCCACTCCAACCCCATCAGCCCACCCTCCCCGGCTCATCAGAATCAAGCTCCGCCCAAAGAGGCGGGGCCTCAGAGTGCCCCTCAGATGAGGCGTCCACTGCACGTGTCCATCAGTCAGCAGCGAAGTTTGCAGCCGTTGTCCTTCCAGAACCCGGTCTATCACCTGACTAACCCCGCCCACAGCCAGGCCACAGGCCACGCCCACTCCCTGCAGGACTCCAGCTCAGAAAACCTGAGCACAGAAAGTTCCAGCAACAGTCACAGTAACTCCGACGACTGTGGAAGTCAGGCGGGCGTCAGGGTCCGGGCGCCGTCCCGCTGCAGCCTGGACCAGGTGGACGCTACACCTAGTTTACACAGCGACGCCGGTTCGACGCCGCGGCGTCCGACAGCTCCCGACCTCTCACCTGGAACGGCCACCGCGGTGGCCGTTCCCCGTCACGGCACGGCCGCTGGCACCGCCCACATCATCAAGGTGGAGCAGCAGAGTCGGACGGGGGGCGGAGCCCGGACGCCGCGCTCCCTCCCCCACAGTGCCTCAGTATGTAGCAGCGGCAGCGCTAACGCTAACGCTCACACACCTGTCAATCAACTGTCCAGCTGTTCTGCGGAGAACGTGGCTCTGCCCCAGAGGAGCGCCACCAAACTGCCCCCCCCGGTAACACCCACTGCTTGTTTCTGGTTATTAGCGCAGTGGGCGGAGTTTCATGTGTCCTCCCTCCACCTCTGCAGGTCGCCCCCCCCGTGTCCGACCCCGTGGCCACGGCCCTGTCTCCTGTGGAGAGGACAGCGGCCTGGGTCCTCAACAATGGAAAGTACGAGCAGGAGGAGGAGCGCGAGGAGGAGGGCAGGAAGGCCGAGAAGGTTGGAACCGTTGCCACCTCTGAAACCCCCTGGTACCGATGCCTGGGCCCGTGGGACACCTGTGCTCTCGGTCCAACCTCTGTTTTTCGTCTGCAGTATGAGCTGGAGATCCTGCGGCTGAAGGAGCGTCTGCGGCTGTCGGGTCGACGCCTGGAGGAGTATGAGCGCCGCCTGCTGGCGCAGGAGCAGCAGATGCAGCGGCTGCTGCAGGAGTACAGGAGTCGACTTGAGGAGAGCGAGGAGCGACTGAGGAGGCAGCAGGAGGAGAAGGACGGACAGATGAAGAGCATCATCTGCAGGTCTGACCAACACTCGGGGGGGGGGACCATGGGGGGGGGGGGGGGGTGGTGGGCCGAGTTATCTGTTCCAGAAAGAGCTCTCTCTCTCTTCCTGTCTCTCTCTTTCTACCTGCCCCCCCCCCCGAGTGAGGACCAATCACAGTCCAGATAACCAGTCCAGATAGCTTTCTGAAAGATGGTTCTGTGTTTCTTTTTTCACGTCACACAGTTCTCTCTGTTGGATTAAAAGTAAATAACAGATTTTATTCCTCTTCATATCGCTAACTGTATGCTAACATGCTATCATCTAACCATTCAACGTTAGCTCAGTGGAATGCTAACGCTTTCCTCCTCCAGTCTGTTCCTCCGGAGCTCCAGGTTCTTTCAAACCTCCTGGTCACTTTGATGTTCATCAGCAGAGGGCGCTCTAACCTTCAAAATAAAAGCTGCAAAAAATAATTATGGGAAACTGACGTGTGTGTGTGTGTGTCCAGGCTGATGGCGGTGGAGGAGGAGCTGAAGCGTGACCACGCAGAGATGCAGGCTGTGATTGAAGCCAAACAGAAAATCATCGAAGCTCAGGTGTGTGTGTGTGTGTGTGTGTGTGTGTGTGTTCATCCACACTGCTTCATGACAGAGAGCTGTGTTTAACTCCGCCCCCTGTGTCTTTTCTCCAATCAGGAGAAGAGAATCGGTTCCTTGGACGCCGCAAACACGCGGCTGATGTCGGCGCTGACGCAGGTGAAGGAGCGATATGCTCCGCCCACTCTACGGAACGGAGCCACGAAGCTGTCGATCACTGAAAATGGAGAGTTCAGAAACAGCAGCTGCTGATTGGTCGGCTGTGATGGCCCCGCCCACCAAGTCACAGAGGAGTGGAGGTTATAGCGTGCACGTGAGTGTGCACGTGTCAGCCAGGGTCAAATGAACAAAGTTATTTTTTAAGAGACTTCTTATGGATTCTAGGTTTTTAGTTTAACTTTGTTTGTTTGTTTATGTTGATTTTTTATTTATTTGTTGTTGTCTCTGCTGCTGAAGAGTCCTGAGGCATCAGGGTCAAAGTTCAAACCAGTCTGCTGTTCACAATAAATCCTGAAAACTAGTGGTTTTTTTCACTGCTTTTATGTTATTTAACAAATCAGAAACTACAGGTCGCAGAAATGTTGGCCCGGGTCAAAAGGTCAAATGTCTGTGTATGTGGTCGTGCCCGACTTCATATGAACATCACATCACACCAACCCCGTCACGTCCTCCACCTTTTACTGTTGAACGACTGTAACGATGACGACACGCTGTCAAATAAAAAGGACAACAGCGTCACAGAAAAGATGACAGAGAGAGTGAAGGAGTGAGTATTGATGAGAGAGTTATTGATCCTCCTTCATATCCCCTACTGGAGATAATAGATCAGTGTGATCAGCGTATATGTGTCTGTGTCAACACACCTGACAGGTTTTAGGTTCAATCCAGGTTTAATCCAACAGGGATGAAGAGGACGAGGCAGCAAATCAACACCAAACACAAATATAGTACAAACAGGGAAGAATAACTGCTGCCCCCTACTGGAGATAATAGATCAGTGTGATCAGTTGTCTCTTCATGTGTCTGAATAATTCTGCTGTGGTCTGTAGACTGTCAGGACAATGACGTTCAGATGTATTTGTTCGTCAGTCTCTTCGCTGACGTGTTGCTGTAGTGACGGACCAACGTCAAACTAACACGAACACTGCTGGAGATCAACACCAAGGCTCCGCCCACATCGACACACCGTTACCTCCAATACGTTCTCAGCATCACCGACGTCATAAAGGAAACGGCAGTAGAACGTATTTACGACCTGTTATAAAACTGTTGGCTTGAGTTTGGTTCTAGTTCTGTTCTGTGGATTTGAATAAAATGTTTGATTAAAATATTAAACAATGGTTTTGTAACAGAATAAATGAACAAAATTAGGCAATTATAAAAACACTGCACGTGACAGGGTTATGGTAAAATAAAGGCCTACAACAAATCCTAAATTAAGAGCCGTTCAGGAGCCGAACTTCCCATCACCCAAACGTGAATATGACTGGACTCTTATTTAACCAATCACCGAGCTCCATGCTTAGAGTTGGCCAATCACAGCTGCCGTTACTCACTGAAACGTTTTCGGTCTGAGGTCGTTCTTGTCTTATCTTGTTTTGCCAGAACGTGAGTAAAAACTGATTTAGCTGAATTAATATTCATTAATGTTTTTACATATATATATATATTTTTTCTCTACTGGACCCTGTTAGAAACAGCTCGGTGAGATAGCTGGTGTTTAGGCGCGGG